CTATATCGCAAACCCCTATGCCTGATCTCTCTTCGTAACATATACCCTCGACGAATAATGGATTTATGACGTACGCGTTAGACTTGAAATACGCATTACGGATTAACGTCGTTACTATGAAATCGTGTTTAATGCACAGAGCTCATTACAGTTTAACGATATTCATATTAATATTCATATTGATATACGTATAATAAATTGCTATAAATCTGTTACAGTTTTACCTAGGTTTTAAGGAATTCTAAGCGTCCTTGAGAAGTCTGTTGTTTTTCCTGTTTTATCGACAAAATGTATAGATAAACTATAAATCCATTTATTGGCTATACAGATTGTTTTTTACTTGAAATTAGACCAGGCCGGTATTGGATAAAAGAATATAAGTGAATGTTTACGTATCAATTTGGAAGCCTAGTAAACGAGAATAACTCATATCCTACATTTTTATGCACACATGAAAATGTAGGAAAACAACAATCCGTACAGCCAATAAATAGATTTATATTTAGTTTAATAAGAATATTTTAAAGTCAGCTCTTTAATTTTTAAACCACAATCTACACTTCATTTCTCTCGACCATTTAGTTTATCTAGCCTCACATTTTGTCGATAAAACAGGAAAAAAACAACAGACTTCTCAAGAACGTTTAGGATTACCATTAGGATTACCCCTTAAAAATGTCCTACAATCAATTGTTATCATATTTTTATTTATTTGTGATTATATGCGATTAAAATGTAAAAAAATAATAGAAAAAATTCAATTAAACTTATAGAAAGATTAAGAATCTGATGTAAACGCCTTGAAAACTGTAATTTAATATTCGGCGTAATTTTCTGCGTATTGATAATCGATGGCAGATTAACGTTCCATTCAACCCAGTAATTAACGTCCAATGAAAAGATAACGATTCGTTATTTGTTCTTCTTTACGAAGAACTCATTTTGATTTCTTATCAATGAATAGATTAGCTTTTAGGAAGACGCAGATGCATGTCTCTTTATCTGAAGCTGATATAAAGCATATTAGCTTTATTATTGAATAAACACTTTACTCGGGAATATATTAGCGGGAATAAATGACGTTAGCAGCGATTTTATCGCCGCAGATTTTTTGACGACAAATTATAAAATTCCGTCTCGAGAGGGACGCGTTATATGTATGTTAATTTGCGAGAAGTAGCGAATGGCGTTGAGTAATGGAGAAAACTAGTAACTGTCACTCTGATTCTTGCAATGGGTAGTAAGGTACAGGCCTCCAATGGAACTTTTCTGTTCGTCTAATTGTCCTAACGACTGACCTCTACGGCCGTTCATGCTCCCTTGTCACTCTTTCGTTTCATATCTTTGGGGTGCTTCGCTTCTCCGTTTTAATAGTTAATGCCAACATACAACGCGTTATACATATGTAATCCCATCAATATTGTAAATTAATGTACTAAACGTGATATTTTTTACAAATGTTTTTTAGCATTGTAAATATTCAAAAGGTTGTATTTTAATATATTTTGATCACTTATTTAATATTAAACCTAATTTATCTACTCTAAAATGTACCTAATCTAATATTAAATTTATAGTTATGAATATGATTATTATTTGAGATCAATAAAATCATCAAAATTACGTACAATGTTTAACGTGTTTAATAGTAGAATTACATTTATGATATTATATAACACTCTTATCTTTATATGTGTATTTTCTAAAAAATATTTTGTCCAAAATATTTTCAAATATTGAAAATCGGTAAATGAAGCTCAGATAAATTTTTAGTACCAAAGACAGCATATAAGATATAATAATAAAATATAATTATAATATCATAAAATAATGTTCTACTTTTAAGCACATTTTATAATTTTTCCAAAAATTTCCTTCAACAACAATATATCTAAAGTCGATTTTACGATAGAAAATTGATCTCAAATCACCTTTAATATTAATTAGGCAGTCCAATATAACCCGTGCAGAGTTATCATTGATTCCTGATCGATACGGCTCTCTGCGGCTCGTTAAGAGGACTGAAGTCGGCTTTTGGTCTCGGATTTCCAAGGCATATATCCGGATAATTAATGGTAAGCGCATCCTACGCGGGATGGTGATAGGACTGTGCGAGTGCGTCTCGGACCAGCCACGGTCAAGACAGGTGCCACACCGGGAATCGCTGAGTCAGTCCCGCGATCGGGGCCAGTCTGGTCGAATGAATAATGCAAGTGCACTTGCATCCCGGAGTCTGATCATGCCTATGTAGAAAGGAAGTCGTCGAGGCGCTCCGCCTCGTCGTATTATCCGCTTGCACATTTATCTGTGTGAGTGCACACAGAAAAATACATACTGTATACAAGTAAATATTACCTGTTTTCGGGTATTTCATAAGTTCATATACCCGCAAATATATAATAAGTTCATCATAAGCATCAAATTTATTCAAAATGTGTTTTTAATGTTAATAAGTTTTATACTTCAATGAAAAATATTAAATTAAACAAATAGAATATTTGTTTTTTTTTATCTGACTTTTTTGATAAAAATTTTTAATATTCTTGAAAAAAAATAATTTCCTCTTTTGAATATATGATAATGAGTATTTCTAATATTTGTCATGAGTTTATTTTAAGTCTATTAGAAAAAAAATATTCTTTGTTAAAACTAATCGTTACTTAAAATAAGGAAAATGAATAATTAGTTTTCTTAGCAATAGAATGATATTTTTTTTATGAGTGATGAGCAGATGTTTATTTAAAATCGCTTAGCAATTAAAATTCTTTGGATAGAAATGATATTAAATAAAGCATTTATTTTATAAATAACTGGCTAATTAACAAGTGGATATTATTTATGTATGTATGTATATCTTGAAATCTTGGATTATATTTCATATTGATATAAGTATAATAACACACTGCATTATATAATATAATAGATACTGTATTTGATTTAAATAAACAATAAGCGATGATGAAGTTAATCTTTTTATACAAAAGGAACCAGCATTTCTTTCTTCGCTACTTTTATAAGTGGAAAATGTGTCAAATATATTTCAAAATATTTTAATATTTATATTTAAAAAATAGATTTACGAACATCTTTATAAAATATAAGAAACATCTTTTTTGAGCTACATGTTATATAAATATTTATACTTTATTAGAATATCACGAAATTTTTTATAACTATGCATTTTTTTAAACATTAATTTATCAGCAAACAGTAATATTATTTATACAGATTTTCTGTGGAATAGTTGATATTATTTTAGCATAAGTTTTGATTGAATGTAAATTAAAGAATTGTAAACATCTTCATGCATATTTAAATTGAAAGGTATCTTTTTTTATATAAAAGTAATTAAATACTTATTTTTAATTAAATTATTTTGTTTTTATATAAAAACAATAAATTTCTCTAATAATTAATTACTGTTAAGAATATAATAGGTAAGATAAAAAAATATTCTTTTCTGACACAGATGATTTACGTATCTTTAATTGTTTGATATGAAATATTCTTGACAATTGTTGTCTACGTATGTGTGAGAGTTATTTCAAGATGCATAATCGACACTACAGTCTCTCTGCGAGAATTTCACGGCTGTTATGGCCGATATTCTGTCACCGTGTATCCACCAATTGACTTAATGATCCGAGTGAATCTATTCTCGATGCAGGACCTAAGTGCATACACGAGGTAACATATTGGATGCTCACACGGTTAACAAGCATCTGAGCAAACAATCTCCAACAGCCTTGACAAAGCAGCTGTGACCCTTGCAATTGGAAAGCTTCAACATTTCGGAAATGCAAACGTGAAAGAGTAGAATACGTTCAGTTTTTTAAACAATAATCTTTTTCACATATAATTTGATAAAAAATAAAACGTAAATCCGCGTCAACGTGAGATTAATACTGATAAATTATTACAATTCACAATGCACGTAATATGTAATACGTATACTTATATTCTATATTTATTCGTATCACGATTTAAAAACACAAAACTTGATTCTTTTTACATTTTTATTGCCTCTAAACATGTTAACGTATCTTTATTGAAGCATTTATAATATATATATATATATATATAATTTATATTTTAAATATATATTTTAACAATGAAAAATTAAAATATTGTACAGTGATTTTAAATGTATAGTTATTATCTAAAAGATATATTCTGACAATGTGGATGTATATATATGTATGTGATAGGATAGATATAATACATACATTACACGATTATTACATTAAAATATAAATGATGCTATATTATGAAGTTTATCGTTATAAAATCTGTATCAAATATCTTGTATAATACAATTTGCCATTAAAAATAATAATAATTATCCCTATTTAAAAAAAATAATTTTATAAAAAAATCTTGTATACCGTGAATGATATTAATTGTGTGAAGACAGAATAATTGAGATAATTGAGATATGATTCTGAAAAGGCTTTTATAATATTTAAGCGATAAAAATATTGATTTGGTTATACTGAAACACTTGTGCGTAATCTACCCAATGAATCACACACCAGAATAGGAATGTGCACATGTACATGTAAATAATGTTTGTATAATATTTCAAACACATCTATAATATCTATTATAAATCTAATTAAAATAATTATCGCAACTATATACTAAAAATATCGATCTATGTCTATGCTAATATTTTCAAAATGTTTTAAATACGACAAAAAATTAAATTAATTTTCTTTGTAATTATTAAATCTCTACATTTTTCTTTTTACATATAGGTAAAATATAAATTATTAATATTTTATGTACATTATATTGAAATTATTCAATATATAATATCAAAAATTGTATTCTTAATTTTTTTAATAGAACATGTGTTATAATACACTCATATGTGAATTATGACGTGAATCATATTTACTAAAATAACCTTTAGAGTGTATCTTTCCAGAACACGGTGATACATCAACGGTGTAATCATGATAAGTCTCGCGATAAGCGATTATTGCGTGTATTTAAGCGCCGATCGTCCGTTGTGTCGACAGAACTCGAGTAACCGAGTTACCTGCAGTGATATCACGCGATTTTCGAGTACGGAATAAGCCAAAACATGTCGGCACAAAAATACATAATCAGTCTGGCTTTTATAGTCGCCGTTTTTTTGGCTATTAACACCGTACCCATTAATGGTGCCATCAGTCAGTATGCCGCCGCCGCCAACAAGTCAAATCATCTGATCGTCGGCTACAGAGTGCCTGGTGACAGACTTGTACTCAGGCAGAATATTGTCAAGGAATCTTCCTGGATGAGGGTCGTCACAGAAGAAAGAACCTTCAATGTGTCGTCATGGGAACGCATCACTATGATTCAATCGCTTGACCAGAAGACAAACGGCAATGGTGCTTCTGCCAGTCTCCTTAAAGGTGGACCCGGCTTTTTCAATGTTACCATTAGATACAAGAGTCAGAGAGGTCACGGCATCAACCACGTCATGGAAATTTACGCACGTTAATCTTAGTGGAAACAGCTAATACTTTAATATGATGCTTCTTGAATACGATCGCACACATCCACGTACACACATACAAGAGAAGTAAAATGACTATGCAGGCTGCTATGTGTCAACCTTATATATGCTGAATTATTTATTCTTGTAACACTGATATCACTGATATTGCTGCTAAAATGTCTCTGCATATTCTTTGTTATTCATTTTCTTCTTTTTAGTCTTGATTGATATTTTGTATATTCAACACCAATAAATATTAGCATAATTGATGCAATTGTATGTTTTCTTTCAAATACCTAAACTTATTATTACCATTATACTTAGTTCCTTCGCTCACTACATGTCTGTAGATGTCACTTAAGTCGCCAGTTGCGAGCGTTTCTTTACCTTTGTCTCACATTGCACGTTAGTCCGTTTCATTAATCCAGTTAGTCCTGTGTTTTCTTCTCTCATATAATCACACAGTATTGTGTTTGACATCCTGTGTAGTTTTGTTCTTTCTCAATATATATATATATATATATATATATATATATATATATATTTAATATATGTAAAATATATAATTTATATTTTAAATATATGTTTTAACACATTGATAAATTCAAATATTGTGCAGTGGTTTTAAATGTACGGTTATTATCGGTCTAAAAGATATATTCTGACAATGTGAATGTGTATGCATGTGATAGGATAGATATAATACATACATTATACGATTATTACATTAAAATATCAATGATCATATATTATAAAGTTCATTGTTATAAAATCTGTATCAAATATCTTATATATATAACATGATTTATTATTAAAAATAATTATTATACCTATCTAAAAGATATTAATTTTATAATAAAATATCTTGTATATATCGTGAATGATATTATTTGTGAAAACAGAATAAGATAATTGAGATATGATTTTAAAAAGACTTTTATAATATTTGAGCGATAAAAATATTTATTTGGTTATATTGAAACACTTCTGCATAATCTACCCAATGAATCACACACCAGGATAGAAATGTGCACGTGTGCGTGCAAATCATGTTTGTAATATTTCAAACACATCTATATTATTTATTATAAATCTATAATTAAAATAATTATTGCAACTATACACTAAAAATATCGATGTATATGTCTATGCCAATATTTTCTAAATGTTTCAAATACGACAAAAAATTAAATTAATTTTTTTGTAATTATTAAGTCTCTACATTTTTCTCTTTACGTATATAGGTAAAATATAAATTATTGATAATGTACATAATATTGAAATTATACAATATATTAAAAATTCCTAATTTTTTTTTAATAGAGTATGTATATTACACATTCATATATGTGTATTATGACGTGAATCATATTGATCAAATTAATTTTTAGAGTGTATCTTCCCAGAACACGGTGATATATCAACGATGTAATCATGATAAGTCTCGCGATAAGCGATTATTGCGAGTATTTAAACGCCGATCGCCCGCTGTGTTAACAGAAGTCGAGTAACCTGCAGTGATATCACGCGATTTTCGAGTACGGAATAAGCCAACATGTCGGCACAAAAATACATAATCGGTCTGGCTTTTATAGTCGCCGTTTTTTTGGCTATAAACACCGTACCCACTGATGGTGCCATCGGTCAGTATGCCGCCGCCGCCAACAAGTCAAATAATCTGATCGTCGGCTACAGAGTGCCTGGTGACAGACTTGTACTTAGGAGAAATATTTTCAAGCCATCTTCCTGGATGAAGGTCATCATTCTGGAGCAGACTTTCAATGTCTCGTCATGGGAACGCATCACTATGATTCAATCGCTTGATCAGATGACAAATGGCAAAGGTGCTTTCGCCAGTCTTCTTAAAGGTGGACCCGGCTTTACCAATGTTACTCTTAGGTTCACGAGTCAGAGAAACAACAGCATCAGCCATATCGTGAATATTTACGCACATTAATCTTAGTGGAAACAGCTAATATTTTGATTGGTATGATACTTCTTGAATACGATCGCACACACGCACGTACACACATACAGAAAAAGTAAAATAATTATGCAGGCTGCTATGTGTCAACTTTATATATCCTGAATTATATATTCTTATAACACTGATATCACTGATATTGCCGCTAAAATGTTTTTCTGCGTATTCTTTGTTATTCATTTTCTTCTCTTTGGTCTCAATTGTTTGACATTTTGTATATTCAACTCCAATAAATATCAGCATAATTGATGCAATTGTATGTTTTCTTTCAAATACCTAAAATTATTATGATTATATTTAGTTCTTTTGCTCACTAAATGTCTGTAAATGTGACTTAAATCGGCAGTTGCGCTTCTTTATCTTTGTCTCACATCGTACGTTAGTTCGTTCCGTTAATCAGTTAGTCTTGTGTTCTTTTCTCTCATATAATTATACGAGTACAGTATTGTGTTTGACATCGTGCGTAGTTCTCTTCCTTCTCAATATTATATTATTGTATTATATATAATAAAGTCTCTGCTTTTCTTGTACAACTCAATAAGTGTGTTTTATTACGTCCAGTCGTAATACTTATAGTCTCTCAAAAAAATTATATAATTACAATATGCATAAATTACTTTTGTATATGATAAATAACATATGTAATATAAAAAAACGTCATGTAGCAAAATTTATCCTTTGTAAAGTAATCTTTAACTTGAAATTATAACAATTTCACACTCTTCTGTTTGCCGATCAAATACGTTGGACAATTTACCTTTATTATACGCGTCTCAATTACTTTCTACTATTTTCGCCATTATCGATTGTATTCTCGATACAAGACATAATGAATAAGTGTGAGAATGCGAGCGCTAAGAAAAAATGAAGAACAAGTGTCGATAATAATGCAATTAGCGTTGCGAAGCGAAACGCGACAGCGATCCGGAATAAAAACGGACCGCGAAGAATCTACTTGTGGAATGTCTTTCTTGTATGAGCTAATCAAGTATCCGCCCTCTTCTTCCCGAGACTCGATAATTTCCACCCTTTTTTCTCCTTTCCGCTTCCTCGAGATGGAATCTCCGCTTGCTGGAGATTCGAGGGGATCGTTTCCGAAGAAGAACCGCGCGACTTTGGGGTTGAAGAGAAGAGGGAATACGGGGATGCGAGGAGGAACATCTTCTATTTCCAAGGCTTACGTACAAAGTACGTTTTGCGCATGCATGCATGGCGGCACGAAGTAGGAACAACCGACTGGAAAATTGTTGTCGCTTCGTGGCGCATTCTAACACGGTGATATCCCGGGAGTGGAGGAACTTCGAATCGAGTTGAGGACCACTGGAAATTGGTGGCGGTATTTCAAGCTTGCGAACGACCATTTCGTTAACCTACTTATTCTATCCTCCCTCTGTGTTTCCCCGCGCGTTGCTCGCGGAGCTACATCGGAATATCTAGTTTGTCCGTAGTTTCCGTTTCTGAAAACTACGCACGCGGAAAAGAGATGGCGTAATTCGCGGCTCATTGATTGGATTTTAATAGATTTTAATGGCCACCGTCAATCGGTGGCGTGCGAATCACCCTCTCGACGAACCTCTGTTTCCGATGTATAAGCGAAGTTATCAGCTACTTCGAATACTCGAAACGTATAGAGCACACCACCGAGTACCGTCACGCTGTCCTAGTTCTGTCACGAACGAAGACAGGATACGAAGGGATTATATTTGTGGACTAGACAGACGCATGTGCAATTTTTATATGTGAAAATTGAGGCCGGGACAAGATTATAAGCGTAACACTCGAGCAATTTTGTTTATGGAAAACCGCGCGCGTTGATCACTTATCAAGAAAAATGTTTATAGAAATTATTGATTTGCGTATTTTATATGAAAAATTACGTAAAGAGTGATGGCAAATTTTGCCCATTTTTGGGACCTCAAGTTTCAAACTTTTTTTCATAGCAAATAGTAGGACTATTAGATGAAATATATTAATCCTAGTAAAATTTCAAAATGAGCTTTCACTTCTTCATATCTAAAGAACCGTGCCTATGCTCATCTTGAAATTTCTCTGGAATTAATGTCTCATGATATAATACTATTTGGCATAAAAAAGTTTGAAATTTGAGGTCCCAAAATTTGACCCTATAAAATGGGCAAAAAAAAAACAGATCTTTTTGACATCACTTTTTTTGTAAAAAAAATTACACGTTTATTTTGAATAATGAGTTGAAATGCTTTTCGCGAACAGATAAAGACGGTTGCCGTCATATATGCAAACAGTAGTCAGGTGTTTAGCATAATGAAAACAGTGATAAGTATGTTTATACTTTGTACATGTTATGATACACATGTATATGTATATTGTATAGACGTGTAGAGGATAGTTATAATCTTCTTTAGGCAAATGCTTGATATTTATTTAACTGCATAAATGGGGTCATTTTTTTTATCGTCAATTAAAAAAAAATAAAATTCGTCGACTCATAATCATGAACAATATAGCTGAACACTTAACATATTCGTGTCAAGATTGACGCGTCTATTTGTGTAATGCAAAGTGATACAAAGAGTCTACAAATCTATAACTATAGCTTATAAAAGCTTTATGACACTTGGAATTTTTTTCTAGTGCGAATCAGTATTTAGAATTCTAAATATGGCACGTATAGATTTGCATTATGTTGCGATTGTTCTGATAAAAAAAAACGAGGTCTAAGATTCTATATCTGACTACTCGGGAGTATAAAATCGGATTGTCCTGGGAATTGCGACATATGGGATGGTGCATAAGGCAAGTAGCATTATTTCCGTTATAATGACATAAAAATAGGAACAACTTATAAACGAACGCTATATTTATTCTGTGACGTATGTACATGCAAAGTACGCGCATACTTGTCGATCGACTCTAGAGCTTCTCTTTCAAGTACTGCTGCCATCCTCTTTTGTCGCGATGTCGATCGACACTGAGTCATCGTGTATACATTATTTCGAGATATACAAGTAGAGAGCACGTTTATCTCGTCTTCTTATTCTCTTTATATAAATTAAAACTTGAAATGTCTTTTTTAAGAAAAGTACTATTATCTACGTTGTGAAATTCGGCTTTAGATAAAATTATTTAAAGCCCCGCTTTGCAGATTTTGTTTTTATTAAAGCGTGTTGAGTAGGGATCTTCATTTATACATATATTTTCGAATAAAATTCTACACAGGATAAGATTCAGAACAACAGTCTCTACAATGCTTAACCCAAACCAGGATTATCGTATAATGCATAATCGATGATAAACGTCGGAGCTTTGCGAGTTGCTCGTGTGTGGCTTGTAAAATTACATAAAATTGTTCTCCCCTGCGAGTGCGTGGCTGTGATAAGGAGAGAGCTCGTGCCTCGTAAAATGCGAATGCATAAAAAATATAGCTGACCGCATCTGGCAACCGGCCGTGATGCAAGGGCGTAAGGATTGCAACCCGTAAAGCTGTCGCGAGCGCGTTCGGTTATTGCTTATAAAGTTGCGCGACTGTGACGAACACGTGTACGAAAACCAGAATTGGATGGACAACCCGATGACAGGGACCGAGCGAGAACGAATGAAAGCGTGTTTGCATGAGCATGGTTACAAAAGAGCCGCACGTCAATCCGAAACCGCAGCGGCCATTATCGGGCAATTTTAAACGAAACGCCGTAGTGTTATGACTCGCGCGCTTTAGATTCTGCAGTCGTCAAACAAAGCATCCCAGCAGCGGTTCGGCTCTTGGAATCCGTACAAACTGAGTGTTGCTATACACACGACAACAAAGGGCTGCGGTAAAACGCGTTTTTCGAAAAAGTGCCCACCACGTTAAAAATTAAAAGCAGAATGCAAAGGGATTTAATGCAATAACGGCTTATGTCATGTGTGTGTGGGTAAAATGCGTGTGTGCATGTATGTGTGTGTGTGTGCTAATATATACATAAATAAAATTATCATACATATTATAATGATACAGCTTTTCTCCGCGTAAGATATATGCACGCTTATATTTTTTTTCCACCTCGCAATATACGTAATTGAATATTGCATTTTAAGACAACGAACGCGATGGATTTCAGTAAAGGGAGAAGAAGGAATGTCATAAGTCGGCGGCATATGCTTCTTGAGGCAATGCATGTGTAATGCAAGTCAGTCGGAATCGCAAGCGTTACGCAGCAACTCTCGAACGAAATGGTTCTAATGGATTGACCAACTGACTTGCGTTTTTCGTTTGAAACCTTCTGCGAGTCATTTGAAATCCCATGTAAAAGCTGATGAGTTTAAAGCGCTGTGCGTGTCAGAGTTAAATGCATTCCGCTGACAAGCCATACGCTCCTTCCTTCGTGAAACGCATTGTTATGTAGCATACAACTTGAATTATTATGGATTTCTGCTATGAGTATCGTAATTATTATTTCCCTGAAGTTTTATAAATGTCCATAGAATTTTCAATTAATTATTACGTTATAGATATATGTGATGCCGCGAGCACGCTTCAGATATATAAATATATATATATATATATATATATATACTATCGCTCAAAAGTACTTGCCCACCTTTAATTTAAGAGAAAACTCGAAAACTAAACTTGTGTCTATTGCCTTTCATCGATGTTTATTGTTTATGGGCTAACAGAAAGTTGTTCTCAATAGTTATATTATCAATATCACTTCATGTTTACTAACAGATAGCTACAAAGTCAAATAAGGTATTTATAACTTTTTTTTTAAAATGAGTACTTTTTAAGTTTTTATTACAGAGATGTGTGTTTCAAATGTGTTTGGAATTTTTTGTTTATTCGATATTTTAGAATGTAGCGAATATAGATTTGCGTCAGTTATCTGCTGCCATTTGAACAGACATCTTTCAACGCATATTTTGCAAAAATAGTGTTTTTTTTCTTCCACGTAATATTAAAATGGTAAAAAAAGAATTATCTGAAGAGAAAAGAGGCATAATTGTCGGACTTTATAAGGCCGGAAAGAGTAATAGACAAATTTTATAGTCATATTCATAGTTATTAATTTATAGTCATTTATAATAATTATTTTATAGTCATTTATAGTCATTATTTTATAGTCATTTATAGTCATTATTTTATAGTCATTTATAGTCATTTAAACACAATTTACCTATAGGTGGGCAAATACTTTTGAGCAGTAGTGTATATATTTCGTTAATATTTTGATTAATTCCGCGACATTTGTGTATTAACATTATTCGATGTCAAAAGCATACAAATAGGAATATAAAAAGCGAGAAATTATGCTTAGATCTTGGATAATTATGCTGGAATTTCACGTCTCGCATTTAGTTTGCAATTCTGTCGGTTCTAAGTCCTTTGATATCAAAGCTGCTGATTGGCCACAAATGCAAGATCAGAGATTCGAACATCGGCAGGGTCGGCATGTGGATCAACCGTAGGTGTCCTATGCGGTCAGCTCGTTAACCGGTATGAACTACACATCAGCTGAGTGATCTCTGTCTGCTTATATAGGAAACGTGATTGACTAATACCCTTTGATGGTAGATTCCTTGACG